GAGATGATCATGGGAAAAGATTCTGAGAGATGTCAATCATATTATTAATATTAGTCATCTTCTTGCATTTCTCGCTTTGACCGAAGTCACTGAAGATCTGTCACTACACTCGTCAACATACAAATACAGGGATCGACTAATACTCGCTTGTCTGAGACTCTGAGACCTTCCGACCCCTCTTATCTGCATGAGTGTCGTCATGTATTATATACTCGAAGAATAAGTATTAAGCACGTCGACTCTTAGAACTGAGCTGGCTGCGTATGAAGTTTCTCGTCGGACGGCAGCTGGTGAGACTTTCACCTAGATGACCCAGGATACTATTCGAAATTCTTGTTCTGGCAAGCAGGACCTAACCCTGCAAAACGTGCTACCATGGATGAGATCCTGACGCCACCGCTTTCCCATCATATTCCATCACTTTACTATTGTGTACGCCATCCGTTTGCCTCTGTACCACCATGTACCTACGAGGACAAACGATCTTCTCGTTGCTGGTTTACCTCCCCCTGTGCTCGCCAACTTAGCCCCGTTGGGACGAATTCTAACAATGGGTGCAATAAAAAGGCCTTGACGGCGCCTGCTGGTTCCTACTAAGATGGCAATATTCGCTGGGACTACGAGCTCGGCAGTAGTTCCACTAGGGATCCTGGATGTAGGTCCTCTCCTCCTCAAATCTACTTATTCTGATTTGGAGTAATAGGCTATGCTCGTCTCGTGCAAAGATTGGCATAGGAATTCTTCGTATAAATAATACGTGGTTTCTTTTTGGTCAAATTTATCTCTGCGGACGCCGCTGTGTGCTTCCTTACTTATTGCAAGGGATTATTTTTTCTTTCAGATTTCAATTTGACGCGTTACAGTCACATCTCGTGTAAGTCGTCACTGTCACTGGTCTACTAACCACCATCAGGACGGAACGAAACTCATGCAGCTCGGCCACTTCTCTGCATCCGTATCTGTCGACGGAGTCCAACTATCTGAGTATGCCCCTGAGTACTCTGCAGACGGGCAGGAAGCTACTTGCTGGATTCCGTCAGAGAGCGGAAAGGTATTTTGAATTGAAGATGGCACTTTCGCAGAGGATTCTCACTCTCGCCCCTGTCCTTAGAAGTTCAAAATCGAATGGAGTAATGCGGCGGCTTCGGCGTCCTGCCACATCTCTGGGTATCTCGGGCTTTATGATCTTCCTTCGATCTTGCTTTCGAAACCGAAATACAGGGCGCGCGCACATACCATCTCATATCCGTGGCTAAAAAAAATCTACTCTGTCTAGGAGAAGCTTAAGGTCCCCCGGAAGCTCTTTCATCTGTCCTCCTCGCCACCAGCCGCTTGACGTCGACGTCCGCTAATTATAATCTTCACCGCTATCATTGGCTGAGGATAATCATCCCACACTCAAACAAAGTACTAGACGCTGGCTCCTTTATTTAGATTCGCAGTTGAGTCTCTCGACCTCCAAATACAGCCCCTTACTGGGTGCCCCCCCGCAGAGTCAGCTCACCGCAGATGCTCTTTCCGTTCTTATTCCTTTTTCGCAGTTCCGCTCTTGGTGCATTGAGACTGAAAGTTAAACGCCAACTAAGCGCTAGCGACTCGAAGGAAGCCTCTGCGTCAACGACGTTAAACCAATGTCAAACACACCTGTAGCACTTTCACCACGAGTATCCGATTCATCTCCAAGTGCTGACACACATCGCTCTCAGTTTTTGACATGTTGTTTCATGACTTGGGGAGAATTTTCTCTTCCTTCTTGCAGCATCACAAATGCGCCCCGCACCACAAGACTTCGAGATCAGCATACATCGCTACCAGATCGGGCGGAAAGTTTTCACACCTAAATATGTACGACATACCTTCATTTCACGATTGACCCTAACAACGTCGTCTGTAAGAATGTTTGGATCAGTCAGAAACGGAGACGACGAGACAGGTTTTATTTTCGGTGATGCACTATTTAAACGTCCTTCCCTGACGACCTGCTCCCCTCAACTATTGTCATGTTGTACGTCCCTCTCCTCGTTTCCACTCTCTTTTCTGTCTTGGGATACGTGCACGCCCAGTTCAATGACTCCGTCAGTATCGTCACACCGTTGACGGCTGACACTGGCGACTTGTTCCTCGTTGCATGCTTGTGGACAGGAGTGTTTACACACGAGGTTGCCTTGGTACACTTCGATTCAATCCACTGTCTAATCTCCGCAATCCTCCACAGCCTAAGAATGCCTCATTTGAACTGATGGTCGGGAAAGCTGAAGGTACGCACAGCAGACCGCAACACGACTTCAGAATGATGTTTGCACTGCAATAGATAATGGGAACGAGGTGGCAGACATCATGGGTACGAATACTCCGCAAACCTGTTGCACAGGTCAATGACCTGTTTAATGCAGAGATCAACAGTGCTGGGATCACCAGTTTTTGGTATCGCGTACACGCCGCAGTGATTCCCCCTTTCCCGCATGAGCCACACGCTGTCTTACATACGCTGGTGGCAGACACCCCCCGGTGATTATCACATCCGCATGAACGCGACGATTTTTCAGAAGGGTGTTCCGATTGGCCCATTCACCCAACGCTCTCAGAGGCTCCCCATTGTCCAGGCCAAGCCCTTCGCGTGTACGGTCCCTGCGTGGGAGCCAGTGCGCAGCGTCTCCGATCCAGGATTTGGCTCCCTCCGCGTGGACCTGCCTAACGGAGGGGATGTCTACTATCTGTCGGATGCTACGCATAACCTGTCGAGCATCGGATACTCGATAAGCATTGTAGATGCGAATTTTCAAGTACGTTGTCCGCTTTACTCAAAGCCAATACAAGAACACACATTTACACGATAGAGGGAGGACGCATCGATAACCCTCGAGTTAGTTAACACTCGCACTGGTGCAAGTGCGGGAGTCCAGAAAATCGTAAGCTCTTCGCGCAAATTATTGCTGGTCCAGAGGACCAGAGCACTGACATTTGACTCAGACCGGAGGGGAGCTTGCTTTCCAAAGTCTCGAGATGGATAATTTCAACGTGACAGCTGGCCCATGGAAGGCATGTAACATACCTAGATTTGTATGCAGCCACTTCGTGTTGACGTGTCTTAAAGGTCCGCGCAACCTCTTCAGTGCCTGGAAGCGCCAACTTTTCCGTGTTCTCAGACGAGTTTTATATATCCTCGCAGGCACCTTGTGGAGGCCTCGCGCCCGGAAAATCCACCACATCTGGTGGATCTGATGGTAGCCCCAGCGGAGCACCCACCTCGATTGGCTTCTCGGCGTTCCTCCTCGGCATGGTTCCAGTTATCGCAGTATCGGTTATGACGCTGTAGTAAGGCTGTAGTAATGAGGCCCTCACCTCACATGCCGCTATTTCATGTACAGGCGGAATCTGCGTAGGCGAGGCATATTCTCTATGAGATGCAGACGTGGACCATCCGCTACAGAGCCGTATTGTCCTTCATCCGAACCTGGATATACTTCATTTTTTTGGAGACGATTAAAAAAAAGAAAAAGGTGCTAGCGACGTATGGCTCAAGCCTGAGTCGAACAGGTGGGAACTGGAGGTACAGACATATCATTTGAGGCAGATGCAGAGTATCCGCTACCGAGCAGTATTGTCCTGCATATACTTGATTTTTCGGAGACGGTTGAAAAAAAAAAAATCGTCAGCAGCCCATGGCTCGGGCCGGATTTGAACAGGCGGAATCTGCGTACTCATATTCACATGGCTCCTGTTGACGCGAGGCAGATGTGGACCTGCCGTTACAAAGCCTTATTGTCCTTCATTTGAACCTGAATGTATTGGTGCTCATTTGGAGGTGGTTGGAAAAAAATGGGACCACAACAATGTGGGCCTGATTCGAACAGGCGAGATCTGCATCCAGAAATGAAGGATAATTATTTGAAGCAGATACGGCCCATCCGCTACCGAGCCTTATATCCCTTCCCTTGAACTTCGATATACCTGATCTTTTTAGAGGTTAGAAAAAGAAAGTGTTCCACCTGCAGATGACTCGGACTGAGCCGAACAGGCGGGATATGCATCAGTCCAACAGGACCCTTTGATTTAGAGTAGAAGCGGACCATCCGCCACCGAGCCTTTTATTATCATTCCGTTGAATTTGAGTATATGAGCACATTTTTGGGTGTGGTTGAAAAAAGAAGTGCGGACTAGCAACATGGCTCGGGCCTGATTCGAACAGGCGAGATCTGTATCAATGCAACGGGACCCTCTAATTTAGAGCAGACGCGGACCATCCGCTACCGGGCCTTATTTTCCTCCCTTTGAACCTAGGTATACCTGATTCTTTTGGAGGTGGCTTCAAAAAAGAAATGATGCGAGAGTCGGACGAGACTTTTGAATGGACCATGCAATCTCTGAATTTGAGGCAGAGCCGTATTTTGATTCCTTTGAGCCTAGATGGGTGTAAGATTATTTAGGCGTCGGCAGTGAAAAAAACATTCCCAACGCGACAAGGTACAAGGCTCAGGCCTGAGTCGAACAGGCGGCATCTGTATACTTTCGATTCTCTTCATGTGAGGCAGACGCGGACCCTCCGCTACCGAGCCGTATTTTCATTCTTGTGAACTTGGATATATTGGTGCTTTTTAGGAGACAGTTGAAAAAAATGCTTACTTTTATAGCGCAAGGTTCGGTCCTGAGTCGAACAGGCGGGATCCGCATTAGTCGAGCGGGTATGCCAGGTAATTTGAAGCAGACGCGGACCATCCGCTACCGAGCCGTATTTTCCTTCCTTTGACCCGGAATATACCTATGTTTCTTTTTGGAGGTTGTTGGTAATAAAAGCAAAGCACCAGATGACACAAATATGGCTCGGGCCTGCAGGGGCGAACCATCCGCCACAGAGCGGAACTCCTGGTTAATCTGGCTGGATGAGGGTCCATTTGGAGGCGGTTGGAAAAAGAGCTACCGAGCCTTATTATCATTTTTTTGAACCTGCATATGTATTATTTTTGGAGGTGTGGTTGAAAAAAAAACACATCGACAGCACATGACTCGGGCCTGAATCGAACAGGCGGGATCTGCATACTCAGCATTGAATTCTCGGCCCATATTTGAGGCAGACACGGACCCTCCGCTACCGAGCCGTATTTTCATTCTTTCGAACCTGAACATACTAGAGCAGTCTCCAGAGGCTGTTGAAAAAAAGGTACTAATGCGAGACGCAAATATGGCTCGGGCCTGAATCGAACAGGAGGGACCCTTTGATTTAAAGCAGTCGCGGACCTTCCGCTACCGAGCCTTATTGTCCTTCATTCGAACCTGAATGTATGAGCCATTTTGGATGTAGTTGAAAAGAAAAAAAATTGGTCGAAAACGGAAATGGCTCGGGCCTGATTCGAACAGGCAGCATCTGTGTACTTCCGGGTTTCTTCTTCATGTGAAGCAGACACGGAGCCATGTCTTCAATCCTATGAACCTGGATATATTGGGGTTTTTTGGAGATAGTTGGAAAAAAAATGCCTACTCCCCCAGTGCATGAGTCGAACAGGCGAGATGCGTGTAATTCCGTCCGCAACCTTTCCATTTAAAGCAGACGCAGACCATCCGTCCCCGAGCCGTATTTTCATTCATTCGAACCTGGAACCAATGTATTATTTTGAGGTAAGACAAAAGAACTCGTTACAAACCACATCAGGGCTCGGCCTGAGTCGAACAGGCGGGATCTGCGGGGATTCAAGCTCAACGGTACTGAATACAGATGCGGGCCATCTTCTACTGAGCCTTATTTTCCTTCTTTTGAATGTGAATGTATGAGCACCATTTTGCTGTGGTTACAACAACAGGGTGATCCTGCAGCTGTGAACTTGGATAAATACATCACAAAAATATTTCCGCTGATGATGAGGAGGAGGAGGAGGATTGCCTGCGCGGTCCCAAATTGAAACAGCAGGTAGCGATGAATTATGGCTCGGGATCTGCATGCTCTAATCAAATAAATTTGAAACACACCCGCAGCCGAGGCAGTAATCATTAATTACTCAAAGCGGCGGAGGCCTTCCACAGATGGAGTTCAGCTCCGCGCTAGTCCAGATCTGTGTCATTCTGCCAACGGAGAACCTCTTGACAAGACCTTTGACAAAACATTATTTCTGGCAGAAAATGATTAACAGATACACCTAGTGGATGAATGCTTCGTAGCCATGCTCGACAAGATGTGGGTGTCAAAGATGCCTCATTTGGACATTAGCGTTGACGCCGTGAGATGGAATGAGGAAGAGAAGGGCGGCCATTGATCGGAACGGTATTAGGTTCGCTTACGAAGCTTCTCCCGCCTTTTTGATCGCAGGCAAGACCCTCGGTCACCGCCGACACGACGTTGACCAGGGATCAGCATAACGTCGTCGCCCTTCGACAAAGACTGCCATGACTGCCCACCACCATGGCCTTGTACACGACCCCGCCGCCCTCCAAACCCTCCCGGCTCTGCCCGCCCATCCGGAAGTGCGTCCTGCCCAGTTTGCAGAGATGCACACTGCGCGCACACTCGCCCACCCGCCAGACGGCGTCCTGTTCCAGTTCCTGCATGGTATGGAAGGGGACAACCACGCCCAGAATACCTTTTTTGCTTCGCCCGCTCGACGGCGCCCCCGCCGCCCGCGCCCGACCTGCTCTCGTCCGCGTCCTCCAGCGACGAGGAGGACGACGAGGTCGAGGTCGAGGTTGAGCTTGACCCTATGATGGATGTGGATGACCCAGCGTGCACATTGTGACGTCCCGCCCATCGCAACCCTTGAGAACGACGCTAAGGACGCCGCCGCGCACATGCACCCCGTGCACTACCGTGTGCAGATACGGACCGCGGGGGCACGCACGGGCACCAGCTCGGCGTGCACAGATGCGAGCTGCTTTGCGTCGAGCCCGCTCACGGACGTCGATGTCGAGATGTGAGTGCTTTTATTCTGTATTGCTTCATTCGTGGTTCGGCGCTACGTGGTCGCGCGACACAAGGGCGGACCCGATGTTCTGAATCTACGCCTGTTGTCCTCGTCAACCAAGCAGTGTCTTTCATCTTCATCTTCTCTCTCCCCCCTTGTCCAGCTCCCTACCCCTCTCTCCGTCGTCCTTCCAGTAATACATCCTCCTCCTCCTCCTCCTCCACTCCATCTCCAATCCCGCATCCTCCTACCCCTGTCTCTCGTCTTCTTTGGTGTCATCTCTATCGGTACCGCCGGCTTATATATCCATTCCTTTCCCTGTATCCATTCTTTGTTTTTCCTGTTCCTACACGTGGTCGCGCGTCTGGTTTACCAGCGTGTAGTGACGCAGCGTCGCTTGTCCTTCCTTCATCTTTCGTCTTCGATGTTGCATAAGCTCCGCTGCCATCGTCGCCAGTCGCAGCCCGCTTACTTGTGGTCAACGGATTTTCCGTTATACTTGTCGGTCTCCGCCGGAGCGCGGCTCCCTGCACTGGGCAGATTTACCCGTCAATAGGGTGTTTCAGATATCGCAACTTGGGACGCAACTCGGGACGCAACTTGGTGCCCAACTTATTTTGAAGTTGCAACTCAAAAACTGCCCAACTTTGAAGTTGCGTGTCAAATCACGGTCGGGACCATGATTTGACATGCAACTTCATGCCCAACTTCATGCCCAACTTCGCTTATCCGATTTCCATCCACCATTGTCGTTGCCGGTGACTCCCGGAGAAATGATGCGACTGAAGTTGGGACCAAGTTGGGCATCAAGTTGCATCCCAAGTTGCGCCGAAATCCTAATATCTGAAACACCCTAATATCAGTTTTATCTTTTTGAAACAAATTGCAGGCCGTAACAAACTGGTTAGCAATATGTCCTTGCCTCTTCCTGTTCCAACTGATCTCTTTCCCTCTCGAGCATTGTCTTTCCTTCTCGAGCATTGTTGGCAAATGACAATGAATCTGCTCCAATGATTTAAACGCAATATGAAATACATCAACTAAATAACAAATAAATCTGTCGTGATACCGTCGGCAGGAATTGCGTCAATTTTGGACAACCAGGCTGCAGGGAAACTCACAGTATCATGAGTGGCCATCCTCGCTTTCATTCTCCACAATAATACCCGCCCGACTCGTGGAGGCATCGACGGTGCTCTGTCTCTCGAGTTTAACCGCTCTTTCGCGATCCAGGTGCCCACCGCTTTCCCTCGTTACTTCTTTCCCTTCTGTTCTGAATCCTCGCAGAACTTTCTGCATAACCGCAAGCCTTGGCGCCTCCTTTGGAACAACAAAGCCTTCTATAAAAATGCACTGATTTTCGGTTCGCGGGAGTTCGAAGTTGCGCGATGTTCGAACCGTGGCTGTCCCGAAATCACGCCATTCGTAGTTGGGTGCCAAGGAACCTTCCACCGTGCCGGCCACTGAAAATTTAAGGGAGGTGCTAATGGAGCCAGAACGAGATGCAACGGTGGCGATACCCCACGACGCGGCTTTATCGCATCCAGTGACCACAAACAACGATCCTTGCGGAGGTACGCGATCCTGAGCAAATGTGTACCACTGTTGGGTATGTTTTTGAACATGCGCCCGAAATGTTTGAATAGCCAACAGTCTCTGTCGGGAGGCACCCTCGGGAAGTACGAGGATCGCGCACTCTTTGGACTGGACTTCAAATCTCACACCAGCGCCTAATGTCACGGGCAAAAATTTAGTCGGGGTCAGAATACCGCGATATTGGCAACACTAAGTAAGGTACGCACGGGGTAATCGCCGACGATGCCTCAGCGTTCAGTTCTATGCGCCTCAGCTTTCCACTCGTTATGATCGATCCGGGGGAATGAAACATTCTCTTGGAGATGTCACGTTTATGTAGTGGGAAGTAGTCGAAGTCTGGGGGTACGCCTTGGGCATTAATGGCGGAGGTAGAGGGCTGGCATGCGTTGAAAATCACGTCGAATGAACCGTCGGTCCACACGCCCACATCCCCGATACCAACACCAACATGCTGGTATTCGAGAGGGAGATTCTCGTTTGGTTCTGGGGTGAATTGCGGCCTGCCGTGTTTTTCTGAAGCCAACAGACAGTAAATTTCATTCGGAGATCGCGACATGGAAGGAATGGTGTCGCGCGAGTGGAGTGAAGTAGTAGTGGAAGATCGAGGACCGTGTTTGTCTCTGCATTATCAATACTTATATCTCAACTGTCATTGAGTGAGATAAGACTGGATGCAGGCTGAAAATGAAAGCGAAAAATAAAGGAACAGTAGTGTAGCACTTCGCAATACGCAGGTGATCGTGGCCAGTAACAGGGATTATTTGCTTGAGGGAATATTAATAAAGACCAGCAGCAAAAAAAGTCCATGTTTTCTGCTGAGGGACAGTCAGAGCAATGTGCGAACCTCTGTCACACATCACCGAATACTCGGTCTCGGCGCAAGCCCGGCTATTTGCACAGCAACATCTGCTATCACCACACCTGCCACTCAGCTCAACAGCTTTGGCCTTCTGTGCTAATTCTGTTCTGTATAAGGTCCGCTGTTGCCGCCGGTCGCGACTTGCTCGCTGACTACTCAGTAACCCCGTGGGATTCTTTGAGCTCACCGCTTGGTGGGACTTTGGTTTGGAGAGGTCTGGCGAGAGCTTGTCCTGGGGCACTTCTGAGGCGCGCCATTGCGGTGGACTCGGAACCAGAGTTCGAAGAAAGAGGCGCAGCATCATAATTGAGTCAGTGGGGTGCAAATATACAGTCGAGAACGTTTGTCCACGGGCACTTTTGAGGCTTGCCGCGTGTAGGAACCAGGGATCGCAGAAAGCGGCCGAGCACCATAATCAAGTCCAGGGCGACGCAAGAAATACGGCTTTGGTGACGTAGCAGGTCCATTCAGATCAGACCGTGTAGTCCACCCCTGACGCTCTTCTGAGGCCCATGAGACAATGTATCGATCATTACGCCTCCTTATGAATGCAAATATTCTATTAACGCTCCGTGCAGGTGTGCTCAAGATCTGCTCGTCAAAGATGCGGACTTGGAGCTGCATACAACCATGTGAAGGTACCTGTGTATCCAGTTACGTTGCACACTCTTCGAGCTCCACATTGTTGATGATGGCAACGATATTGTCCACAATGTAGGTTGATCGGACCTGCGACCTTCTCAACTTGTTCGTACCTGACAACATGAAAATAGATGAAGGAAAGCCGCTTCTTTCTGACCCGCAACTGATCAGACCTCGAGGAAAATCTCTCGCGCCATCCTATGACGTGCGCGCAATGCCGGGTGCGGAAAGAGGAACTGTCTCTGCGTCGGGCGGAATTATTCATTACATTATCCTATAATCCAAGGCACGACTGCTTCGGACCCCATCTCGCTGTCAGATCCTTGTTGGCAGACAGCAGCCTATCATTCACCGTAGTCCAGAAGCGCTGAAAAGATGGATGAGACCCCGCGACGACCTTTCGTTGGGTTGAGTGTAAGTACCTGGAGACAGTCCAATTCCTGATGCATACCTATTCAAGAGGTGCCCTGTCTTGTCCAGTGCTGAAGGCGGGAATACGTGCGCGCAAAACTATGATTTTCCATCTCCATGGCATTCACAAGCATGTGGATATCCGCATGAACCGCATTACGAGTCGGTCGTGCGTACTGGTTAAATCTCACAGCACATTTGTCATTGTCTGCAGAGTGGGTAGGTGAAACTTTGCGACTGATGGTTCTATTATAAGATGCCCAAATTTTCATAAGAAATCCGGTTGTGCGCAAATAGGTGCTGCTAATACTAAATCTGTGGGTTCTCAAGCAATTGCCGGCCACGGAGCACGGGGAGCAGCTCAACAGATGATCACGCGAATAGTTCTACCAATCTTCGATTAGATTGGGTTTCGGATCGCCCAGCTCCGTGGAGTAAGAGAAATTAATGGTGTGATTCCAGTTAGCGAAAGTCCCGAGTAATATCTCCTTGACAAGAGCCGCAAAGACCATTTACGGTACGGTCATATGTCGTGCCTCGAGGATTCGTGGACAATCATTTTTTCCTCCTCCGAGTTCTGAGTCCCACCTTTTTTTTTTTGAGCGGCTGATGTAGCCCCTATCAGCCCCATCAGGAAAGTCAAAGCGTCAGGAGATGCCTTATTAGGACGTATATATCCGGTCCGGACATCTGGCACGTGGATTAACTCCGTTTAGGTCGGTAAGATGAACAACCAGCACTTGTCACTTGACCAGCACCGGATTGTCCGGATCGCGCAGATGGTAGAAATGAAATACAGGAAAAAAATACGATAGGGGCGTATACAACTTCCACGCCCGACAAGAAGCCAAACGACAGACGAACCAGTCCGAAACCAACTTCATTTTTAAACCCTTTTCAATATCCCGGAACCAATCCTTGCTTCGAATGCCGCCACTCGTGTGCCGGTACCCCGACAGCGACGGAATCCGTTTAGAAGCAGTCCAGGCCACTCAACACGCCCTGTCACAAGACCTGGGGTATACGTGAAGTGGAAGAAATTGGAGTAGAGTCAGATATCGAAAACATGAGTGTCGCCGCTCGGAGCCTGCGCGAAAACAGGATTGAAGCCCTGGGGGTAACTAACTATATGTATGTATGTATGTATAATGTATGAATATCGCAAGTGTTGTGTCCATGCAAAGCAATCGATATCAATATCGCTGTCAACTTTAGCTTGCATTGGTGGAATGAATTTGATGCCCGCTCCACTTATTTTCTTTTGCAGCTTAGCGAGCAGCGCACTCCTGTATTACTGATGGTGAATTCGGTACGTCACCCCAACATAAATATCTTATCTCAAAGCGCATACATACGGTGTGCCGCGAGCTACTCGCAAAGAGTGCTGTTGAAGCGTCTGTCTAGGAGGGACTAACTTCTCCCATTGAAGCAGACACAGGTCATCCGTTACCGAGCCTTATTCCTCCTCATTTGAACCTGGAGTGGGGGACAATTTATAAGTTTGGTGTGGTTAAAAACACTACATCTCCGAGAACATGTGGCTCAAGCCTGATTTGATTCAGGTTGAAGGAAAAGATGAGTTGAACGCGGGTCATGCAGGATTTATAGGGTTTCTTCTCAATTTTTTCTACGATTCTTTTCCGCTCCCAATCCAACTTCAACTAGCGAGGTACGGGCTTCATCCGTTAAAAAGTATCTAAGAATGCCTCATTTGAACTGATGGTCGGGAAAGCTGAAGGTACGCACAGCAGACCGCAACACGACTTCAGAATGATGTTTGCGCTGCAATAGATAATGGGAACGAGATGGCAGACATCATAGGTACGAATACTCCGCAACCCTGTTGCACAGGTCAATGACCTGTTTAATGCAGAGATCAACAGTGCTGGGATCACCAGTTTTTGGTATCGCGTACACGCCGCAGTGATCTCCCCCCCCTTTTCCCGAATGAGCCACAAGTTGTCTTACATACGCTGGTGGCAGACACCCCCCGGTGATTATCACATCCGCATGAACGCGACGATTTTTCAGAAGGGTGTTCCGATTGGCCCATTCACCCAACGCTCTCAGAGGCTCCCCATTGTCCAGGCCAAGCCCTTCGCGTGTACGGTCCCTGCGTGGGAGTCAGTGCGCAGCGTCTCCGATCCAGGATTTGGCTCCCTCCGCGTAGACCTGCCTAATGGAGGGGATTTCTACTACCTGTCGGATGCTATGCATACCCTGTCGAGCATCGGATACTCGATAAGCATTGTAGATGCGAACTTCCAAGTACGTTGTCCGCTTTACTCAAAGCCAATACAAGAACACACATTTACGCGATAGAGGGAGGACGCATCGATAACCCTCGAGTTAGTTAACACTCGCACTGGTGCAAGTGCGGGAGTCCAGAAAATCGTAAGCTCTTCGCGCAAATTATTGCTGGTCCAGAGGACCAGAGCACTGACATTTGACTCAGACCGGAGGGGAGCTTGCTTTCCAAAGTCTCGAGATGGATAATTTCAATGTGACAGCCGGCCCATGGAAGGCATGTAACATACCTAGATTTGTATGCAGCCACTTCGTGTTGACGTGTCTTAAAGGTCCGCGCAACCTCTTCAGTGCCTGGAAGCGCCAACTTTTCCGTGTTCTCAGACGAGTTTTATATATCCTCGCAGGCACCTTGTGGAGGCCTCGCGCCCGGAAAATCCACCACATCTGGTGGATCTGATGGTAGCCCCAGCGGAGCACCCACCTCGATTGGCTTCCCGGCGTTCCTGCTCAGCATGGTTCCAGTTATCGCAGTATCGGCTATGACGCTGTAGTAAGGCTGTAGTAATGAGGCCCTCACCTCACATGCCGCTATTTCATGTACAGGCGGAATCTGCGTAGGCGATGCATATTCTCTATGAGATGCAGACGCGGACCATCCGCTACCGAACCGTATTGTCCTTCATCCGAACCTGGATATACTTCATTTGTTTTGGAGACGGTTAAAAAAAGAAAAAAAAGGTGCTAGCGACGTGTGGCTCAAGCCTGAGTCGAACAGGTGGGAACTGGAGGTACAGACATATCATTTGAGGCAGATGCAGAGTATCCGCTACCGAGCCGTATTGTCCTGCATATACTTGATTTTTCGGAGACGGTTGAAAAAAAAGATCGTCAGTAGCCCATGGCTCGGGCCGGATTCGAACAGGCGGAATCTGCGTACTCGTATTCACATGGTTCCTGTTGACGCGAGGCAGATGTGGACCTGCCGTTACAAAGCCTTATTGTCCTTCATTTGAACCTGAATGTATTGGTGCTCTTTTGGAGGTGGTTGGAAAAAAAAATGGGACCACAACAATGATGGCTTAGGCCTGATTCGAACAGGCGAGATCTGCATCCAGAAATGAAGGACAATTATTTGAAGCAGATGCGGACCATCCGCTACCGAGCCTTATATCCCTTCCCTTGAACTTTGATATACCTGATCTTTTAGAGGTTAGAAAAAGAAAGTGTTCCACCTGCAGATGACTCGGACTGACCCGAACAGGCGAAATCTGCATCAGTCCAACGGGACACTTTAATTTAGAGCAGACACGGACCATCCGCCACCGAGCCTTATTATCATTCCGTTGAATGTGAATATATGAGCACATTTTTGGGTGTGGCTGAAAAAAAAAGGACGGATTGACGACAACATGGCTCGGGCCTGATTCGAACAGGCTAGATCTGTATCAATGCAACGGGGCACCGTTCAATTTAGAGCAGACGCGGACCATCCGCTACCGGGCCTTATTTTCCTCCCTTTGAACCTAGGTATACCTGATTCTTTTGGAGGTGGCTTCAAAAAAGAAATGATGCGAGAGTCGGACGAGACTTTTGAATGGACCATGCAATCTCTGAATTTGAGGCAGACGCGGACAGAGCCGTATTTTGATTCCTTTGGTGTAAGATTATTTGGGCGTCGGCAGTGAAAAAAACATTCCTGAACGCAACATGGCACAAGGCTCAGGCCTGAGTCGAACAGACGGCATCTGTGTATTTTCGATTCCCCTTCAAGTGAGGCAGACGCGGACCCTCCGCTACCGAGCCGTATTTTCATTCTTGTGAACTTGGATATATTGGTGCTTTTTAGGAGACACTTGAAAAAAAATGCCTACTCTTATAGCGCAAGGCTCGGTCCTGAGTCGAACAGGCGGGATCCGCATTAGTTGAACGGGTATGCCATATAATGTGAAGCAAACGCGGACCATCCGCTACCGAGCCGTATTTTCATTCCTTTGACCCGGAATATACATATGCCTGTGTTTCTTTTTGGAGGCTGTTAGTAATAAAAACAAAGTACCAGATGACACAAATATGACTCGGGCCTGCAGAGGCGAACCATCCGCTACCGAGCGGAATTCCTTGTTAATCTGGCTGGATGAGGGTCCATTTGGAGGTGGTTGGAAAAAGAGCTACCGAGTTTTATTATCATTTCTTTGAACCTGCATATGTATTATTTTTGGAGGTGTGGTTAAAAAAACACATTGACAGCACATGACTCGGGCCTGAATCGAACAGGCGAGATCTGCGTGCTCAGCTTCGAAATCTCAACCCACATATAAGGCAGACACGGACCCTCCGCTACCGAGCCGTATTTACATTCTTTCGAACCTGAACATACTAGAGCAGTCTCCAGAAGCTGTTGAAAAAGTACTAATGCGAGACGCAAATATGGCTCGGGCCTGAATCGAACAGGAGGGACCCTTTGATTTAAAGCAGTCGCGGACCTTCCGCTACTGAGCCTTATTGTCCTTCATTCGAACCTGAATGTATGAGCCATTTTGGATGTAGTTGAAAAAAAAAGATGAAGTGAGAACGGACATGGCTCGGGCCTGATTCGAACAGGCGGCATCTGTGCACTTCAGGTTTCCTCTTCATGCGAGGCAGACACGGAACCATCCGCTACCGAGCCATGTTTTCAGTCCTATGAACCTGGATATATTGGGGCTTTTTGGAGACAGTTGAAAAAGAATGCAGTGCATGAGTCAAACAGGCGAGATGCGTATAATTCCGTCCGCAACCTTTTCATTTGAAGCAGATGCAGACCATCCGCCACCGAGCCGTATTTTCATTCATTCGAACCTGGATACAAATGTATTATTTTGAGGTAAAGCAAAAAAAAACTCGTTACAAACCACATCAGGCTCGGCCTGAGTCGAACAGGCGGGATCTGCGTATTGAATACAGATTCGGACCATCCGCTACTGAGCCTTATTTTCTTTCCTTGAATGTGAATGTATGAGCACCATTTTGCTGTGGTTGCAAAAAAAAGGGTGATCCTGCAGCTATAAACTTGGATAAATACATCACAGAAATATTTCCGCTGATGAATTATGGCTCGGGATCTGCATGCTCTAATCAAATAAATTTGAAACACACCCGCTGCCGAGGCAATAATCATTAATTACTCAAAGCGGCGGGGGCCTTCCACAGATGGGGTTCAGCTTCGCACTAGTCCAGATCTGTGCCATTCTGCCAACGAGAAAGAAGAGCTCTTGACAAGACCTTTGACACAACATTATTTCTGGCAGAAAATGATTAACAGATACACCTAGTGAATGAATGCTTCGTACCCATGCTCGACAAGATGTGGGTGTCAAAGATGCCTCATTTGGGCATTAGCGTAAGATGGAGTGAGATAAATAAAGAGAAGGGCCCGAAGAATCTTATCCGAGGGATTGATAAACACACGGGACTGACCATCCATCCCCCAAAACGGGTATGCTTAGTAATATAAACCAAAATTGAACAACCCATTGAACGCCACTGACTGAGGGCGCAACGCGTCTCTGAAGCGTTTCTTGGCCTCTCTTTTCTTTCAAACTATCAATCAGGGAGTGATGCTAATTCGCTACTGGGCTCTCCTCGTCATCGAATAATATGTTTACATTGATATTTTATTTAAATTCACTGCGCACTATTGTATCATTCAACCCCCCCGTCTATATGAATTGTCCTATGTCCTTGAGAGCCTTCAATCCGCTTGGATTCCAGTTATCGAGCCTGTGTCCAAAAGGGGAGATGTCAAAGGTCACGTGTGTTCATCAGTCTTGGATGAGACTCGACTGATGGATTACATTGATCGGAACGGTATTAGGTCACTTACGACGCTTCTCCCGCCTTTTTTGATCGTAGGCAAGGCCCTCGGTCACCGCCGACACGACATTGACCAGGGATCAGCGCTCAGCGAGATAACGCCGTCGCCCCTCGACAAAGACTGCCATGACTGCCCACCACCATGGCCTCGTACACGACCCCGCCGCCCTCCAAGCCCTCCCGGCTCTGCCCGCCCACCCGGAAGTGCGCGTGCTGTCTCCTGCCCAGTTTGCAGAGATGCACACTGCACACACGCTCGCCCCACCCGCCAGACGGCGTCCTGTTCCCGTTCCCGCATGGTCTGGAAGGGCACAATCACGCCCAGAACACCTTCTTTGCTTCGCCCGCTCGACGGCGCCCCCCGCCATTCCATGGTCTTGTCTGGGTGGTCGCAGACGACGACCTCGCGCCCCCGCCGCCCGCGCCCGACCTGCTCTCGTCCGCGTCCTCCAGCGAGGAGGACGAGGACGAGCTTGACCCTATGATGGATGTGGATGACCCAGCGTGCACATTGTGACGTCCCGCCCATCGCGACCTTGAGAACGACGCCGATAAGGACGCCGCCAACATGCGCCCCGTGCACTACCGTGTGCAGATACAGACCGCGGGGCTGCCGCTGGGCATGCCCGAGACAGGCACGGGCACCAGCTCGGCGTGCACAGATGCGAGCTTCTTTGCGTCGAACCCGCTCACGGACGTCGGTGTCGAGATGTGAGTGCATTCTGTGTTGCTTCATTCGTGTTTCGGCGCTACGTGGTCGCGCGACACAGGGTCGGACCCGATGTTCTGGCTCTACGCCTGTTGTCCTCGTCAACCACGCAGTGTCTTTCATCTTCATCTTCTCTCTTCCCCCTTGTCCAGCTCCCTATCCCTCTCTCCGTCGTCCTTCCCCTCCATCTCCAATCCTGCATCCTCCTACCCCTGTCTCTCGTTTTCATTGGTGTCATCTCCATCGGTACCGCTGGCTTATATCCATTCCTTTCCCTGTATCCTTTCTTTGTTTTGCGTGTTCCTACACGTGGTCGCGCGTCTACCAGGGTGTAGTCACGCAGCGTCGTTTGTCCTTCCTTCATCTTTCTTTCCTCGCACATCTTTCCCCATTTCTACTTTGGGGGTTATTTCCCTTCATCCTTCATACCCTTGTCTCTCATCTTGCGCGCCTTGGCGTCCTCCCTTCTTCCACCCTGTTTTACCCATTCCTTTCCTTGTCCATCCTCTCTATATCACACCATCTCGCGACGAATCTCTTTGGTCTCGTTACTTGGCCGAACCACCGCATCCTACCCTCTTCTCTTCCCTACCCCGCTCCCACTTCACATACGCTCCCGTGTTTGTTTTACGCGACACCTTATTTTATTTCATATTTGTTCCTTCCGGACTGACGAACACCTATCTGTTTGGTTCCCTAATTAACGGAGCACTCGTGACCCTTCCTTCGCTTTCAGTCCCGTTCTAATTTTATGTTTTCATTTTTCGTACCGAGTTGTATGTATTCAGTTTCTTTTGGACCTGAATATAAGTATTTGAAATTTTGGGATGTGGTTGGCAAAAAGCACCAATATGGCTCGGGCCTGGAATAAAGTTAGCACCAGTTAAAATTCGGGAATCCGGAAGAGAAGAAGGGTCATCCGGATGAGAAGGGGGAAGGTCATATCACGTGTGTTCATGCGTGTGCCAGATCCAGAATCTGCCACATTGCTATCAAGAACTGCGATACAGATGCGCATCTGAACTGCAACTCGGTATTCTTGGACTGTTACCTGTGTCAGATGAACGCACATACCCATATATATTTATAGACAAAATATTCATACTAATAACAAGCACTGGCATTTAAACCGGCAACTAAATGCCGGTTAGTCAGTACACTGGGCAAGAGGTGTGCGATCTCTGGACTGGGCCTGGCTTGAATATGGGTTACGGGGCAGGAACGCGGGAGGTGGAAGTGAACGGCGGGTTATGATGTGGCGGTGTTTTCAATATGTCGCTTGATCAATAGTTGATCAATAGTGATAAAAACCTGGGATTTCCCCGATTTCACGTATCTAGATCTACAGCCTGAAATGGGGCGAGCTCGTCGAAAATATATCGGTTGTGGTGTAATGGGTAGTACATGTATGGCCGATGTACTGAACACTACAACTCTGCACGTTCCGAAAGGGGACCTAGCGGAGAAATAAATTATCCTGAGTATTATCCTGATTAGATCTAGAGGCGGTACGCGCGGAGGCTGATGGTTTTTGTTCCTAATCAGGAACGTTCTTTATCGCTTGATTTGCTTCATTGTCCTCCCAAAACTAGCCCTCGCGCTGGGACCCGGGTCGGATGGACTCTCAGTCGTATTCACGGCACCGGGATTTGGAGTTTCTGAGATAAAGATAGGCCGTGCAGCTGGCCGATCATCATCGAAAAATGACCAATCCGGTGCTGGTTGTTCATCTTAGACAGGAATGTCCCAATAAGGCATGTCCCGCAAGCGTGATGGGGCTGATATATAAGGTGAGGTGGACCACAACAACCGCACACTTTACCCCTTCATGTGCCACACCCATCCCACCTGCAACCCAAAGGCCCAGTTCCCCGCTGGATCCGTTCTCGAGCTCAAACCCTCCTGCTGCGTCACCAAAGCGGTATTTCCTACGCCGCCCGAGACTCGATTATGGTGCTCGGCTTGTGCTCGGCCTCTTTCTGCTGTCTCTGCTTCCACCACAGTGGCAAGCCTCAGAAGTACCCTTGGACCAGCTCTCTCTCTTTTTCCGACAGAGGGAGCTCTCCAGACTAAAGTCCCGCCATAGCGCTCAGCGCCGTGACAAACGGGCGGGCTCTGTCACACATCACCGAAATTCGTCCCGGCACAAGCCCGGCCGGTTGACATCTGCTATCACCGCACTGTCGCACAGCTCAACAGCATTTGGTCTTCAATGTTGCATAAGCTCTGCTGCCATCGTCGCCAGTCGCGGCCCGCTTACTTGTTGTCAACAGATTCTCCGTTATACTTGTCGGTCTCCGCCGGACCGCGGCTCCCTGCACTGGGCAAATTTACCCGTCAATATCAGTTTTATCTTTTTGAAACAAATTGTAGGCCGTAACAAACTGGTTAGCAATATGCCCTTGCCTCTTCCTGTTCCAACTGATCTCTTTCCCTCTCGAGCATCGTTGGCAAATGACAATGAATCTGCTCCAATGATTTAAACGCAATATGAAATATATCAACTAAATAAAAAAATAAATCTGTCGTGTTACCGTCTGCAGGAATCGCGTCAATTTTGGATGATCGGGCTGCAAGGAAACTCACAGTATCACGAGTGCCCATCCTCGCTTTCATTCTCCACAATAATACCCGCCCGGCTCGTGGAGGCATCGACGGCGCTCTGTTTCTCGAGTTTCACCTCTCTTTCGCGACCCAGGTGCCCACCGCTTTCCCTCGTTACTTCTTTCCTTTCTGTTCTGAATCCTCGCAGAACTTTCTGCATAACCGCAAGCCTTGGCGCCTCCCTTGGAACAACAAAGCCTTCTATAAAAATGCACTGATTTTCGGTTCGCGGGAGTTCGAAGTTGCGCGACGTTCGAACCGTGGCTGACCCGAAATCACGCCATTCGTAGCTGGGTGTCAAGGAACCTTCCACCGTGCCGGCCACTGAAAATTTAAGGGAGGTGCTAATGGAGCCAGAACGAGATGCAACGGTGGCGATACCCCACGACGCGGCTTTATCGCATCCAGTGACCACAAACAACGATCCTTGCGGAGGTACGCGATCCTGAGCAAATGTGTACCACTGTTGGGCATGTTTTTGAACATGCGCCCGAAATGTTTGA